AAACAAACAAACAAACACAAGTATACGGAAGCAATGGATACACCGAGCTACCAGAAAGAAAAAGATAAAATGGCTATAAGAAGATCTCCTATTTCAATAATCACCCTAAATGTAAATGGACTGAACACACCAATAAAAAGGCACAGAGTTGAAGAATCGATCAAAAAACAAAATCCAATCATATGCTGCCTCCAGGAGACACATTTCAGCTCCAAAGACAACTATAGACTCAAAGTGAAATGGGGGAAAATGATATTTCAAGCAACTAGCATTTAGAGAAAAGCGGGAGTAGCGGTATTAATATCAGATGAAATAGATTTCAAAATTTAAAAAAAAAGGTAAAGAAAGATACTGAGAGACACTTCATAATGATAAAGGGAATCATACACAAAGAAGATATAACACTCGATAATATCTATGCTCCCAATCAAGGAGCCCCAAAATATGTAAAGGAATTGCTAACAGAACTAAAGGGAGAAAGAGACCAATACACTATCATTGTAGGAGACCTAAATACTCCACTGTCGGATATGGACAGATCATCTAAACAGAAAATCAATAAGAAAATAACATCCTGAAATGACACATTAGACCAACTAAACATAATTGACATTTACTGAGCCTTCCATCACAAAACAGCTGCTTACACATTCTTTTCTAGTGCATATGGAACATTCTCAAGAATCAACCACATACTGGGACACAGAGATACTCTCAACAAATATAAGAAGTCTGAAATCATACCAACCATATTCTCTGATCAAAATGCTTTGAAACTAGAAATCAACTGCAAAATTAAACCAGGAAGAATCAGAAATACATAAAGATTAAACATGCTACTGAAGAATAGCTAGGTAAGAGAAGAAATAAAAAAAAAAAGATATAAATAGATACATAGAAACGAATGATAATGATACTACAACATATCAAAACTTTTGGGACATGGCAAAATGGTCATAAGAGGAAATTTCATATCATTACAGGCCTATCTCCAAAAACAAGAACGAGCCGAAATAAACAATATAATGCTTCATCTTAAAAAAATTAGAAAATGAAGAACAAATGAGGCCTAAAGTCAGCAGAAGGAAAGAAATCATCAAAATTAGAGTGGAAACAAATGAAATTGAAAACAACAAAACAGTAGAAAAAATAAATGCAACAAAGAGCTGGTTCTTTGAGAAGGTTAGTAAAATTGACAAACCCTGGCTAGACTGACTAAAGAAAGAAAACAAAAGACACAAACAAAATTAAGGATGAAGGAGGGGAAATTATAGATGACATCGCAGAAATACAAAGATCATACAAGAATACTATGAAAATATATAATAACAAATTTAATAACCTAGAAGAAATGGACCAGTACTTAAAAAAAATACAACCTTCCTAAACTGAATCAAGAAGGTCTGGAAAATCTAAATAGACCAATCAGCAGTATAGAAATTGAAACAATCATCAAAATCCTACCAAAAAGTAAAAGTCCAGGACCAGATGGCATCACCAGTGAATTCTACCAAACATTCGAAGAAGATTTAATACCTATTCTCCTCAAACTCTTCCAAACAATCACAGCGGCGA